GCCCCGACCGCCGGCGGCGCGGGGCGGCGCTACTACTTCCCGAGGCCGGGCCGGCCCGTCTCCTTCGAGGACTCGCCGGACTGGGGGGACGACATCACCGTCGACGCCACCGCCCACGACTCCTCCTCCATCCACCTCGCCTCCGCCTCCGCCGCCAGCAGCGCCTACCCGTCCCCGTCCCCGTCCCCCTCCCTCCCGGCCCCCTCCGCGTCCGGCTCGGGATTCCGGGAGCGCAAGGTGGCCGGCGCCGCGCTCGTCTGGAAGGAGCTCAGCGTCTCCGTCAGGGACGGGAGACGCCGCGTCGTCAGGGGCTCCAGCGGCTACGCGCTGCCCGGCACCCTCACCGTCGTCATGGGCCCCGCCCGCTCCGGCAAATCCACCCTCCTCCGAGCCATAGCAGGTTACAGATTCTTGACTAAATTTGAGCTTCTGTTACTGACTGATGTCACACTCCACTTCACTAGTAACTGAATTTGAGCTCACTAACTGCTCTGCTCTCAGGGAGGCTGCGTGGCGCGGAGCGGATGTACGGCGAGGTCTTCGTCAATGGCGTCAAGTCACCCTTGCCATATGGATCATATGTAAGCTCTTCCTTCCACACACAAACTACTACTCTGCTGCTAGTACTACATACATGTCTGAACCTACATGCCCATCTGAAAAAGGAAAAGAAAAATATGCACAATCCTACTGAAAAGTGTGTGTGCTCTGTTAAATCAAACATCTTCAGACTACTGTGAACTAGTAGTAGTAGTAGTGCCCATCATATTGGCCAAATTGCATTGCTTGATGGCCATTTGGAGCTGCCACTTGTTACATTCATCACTACTCTACTCCATATGCTCAAGTTCAGTGTCGGGTGTCAGTTACCAATTTGATCATGTCACACCAAACAACTCAAGTATATACATATATGGACAATTGCTTGTATCTAGTCGACACTTACATCCGTTCATATGTTTTCGTTGCTGAAATGTTGATTTGCTGCTTATGCTAGCACTGCATACATACCATGGATTGTTTATGTCCTGTTCCTTGGAGCGCTTGTAGGGGTATGTTGACCGGGACGATGTGCTAATCGAATCTCTCACAGTACGGGAGATGCTCTACTACTCGGCGCTCTTGCAGCTCCCCAGCGTCTTCTCTTCGAAGAAGTCATTTGTGGAAGATGCTATCGCGGCCATGTCGTTGGGTGACTATGCTGACAAACTCATTGGTGGACACTGCTTCACAAAGAGGCTTCCGACTGGCGAGAGGAGGCGGGTCAGCATTGCAAGAGAGCTTGTGATGAGGCCACATGTTTTGTTCATCGATGAGCCTCTGTACCACCTTGACAGGTTGTTTCTCTTCTCCATAATTACCTTTTGCCTATTTGTTTTCCTTTAGTAAAAATAGCACCTGTCCTGCATTCAGAGAAAAGACGTTGTCAGTTTAAGTTTTTTCAGTCTGCTAACACGAGAGTGCTGTGTTTTATGTAGGATGGGTGTTAAAACAATTAGTGCACTCTTGCTTCATACTCCCTCCGTCCCAAAATAAGTGTCTTGAGCTTAGTACAAATTTGTACTAGAGCTAGTACAAAGTCGAGACGCTTATTTTGGGACGGAGGGAGTAGCTTGTATCCTTGCACATTGTAGTATAACTGCCGATTAAATTACACCGCGTAACTTCTCTTCTTGTTTCTTTTCATGCAGTGTTTCTGCACTCCTCTTGATGGTAACACTGAAGAAACTTGCCAGCACTGGGTGCACAGTCATCTTCACAATGTATCAAAGTAGCACGGAGGTTTTTGGACTTTTCGATCGGATTTGCTTGCTTTCAAATGGGAATACCCTCTTCTTTGGGGAAACATTGGCTTGCCTGCAGGTTAATAAGTTTCTCTCTGCTTAATTCTGAACTCTGCTCTAGAACATTTCACATGTATTACCAATTAACCACTTGAGTAAAATGACGGTATCTATTTATACGGACGGAATATAGTTATTCATTTTTATAGACTAGACACAGGGATCATCTTAGCTAACATCACATGAATTGCTATTCAAGTGTGAAGCTATTTGCTTGATTCACTGAATCACCGATGCCTATGTCCAAGTTGCATTGTTAGGAACAAACAAGCCTGCACAAAGTTGCATTGACACACACATATATATTCCTTCTAAAAACCTATATTTTCATGAGAGCAGTTTCTTCTTTCTTGTATGATCTTATTGCTACAGCCCTCCAGTCCAATTTTCCTATAGTCACTTTGTTTATTCCTGTTCTAGATGACTCCATTTTCCATATCTCACCCTGTGGTTTTCTGCACTCTTCTCACTTGGCCTTGTTCCACTGTAGCACTTCTCAAATGCTGGGTTTCCATGCCCAATCATGCAAAGTCCATCTGACCACTTTTTGAGGGCAATCAATACCGACTTTGACAGAATCATAGCCATGTGCAAGAATCTGCAGGTATCTTTTGGTTTTATTTTGACATCAATTTTTATTTTTATCTTCAGTCTTTCTCGTCAACTTGTTGGAAAATGTACTTTTGTTGTGAGAGATAAAAAAACTTCTTTAGTTATTAACAGGATGATCAAGGGGATTTCTCATCAGTGAGCATGGACACTGCTGTGGCAATCCGGACACTAGAAGCAATGTACAAATCATCGGCTGAAGCTGCCTCTGTTGAATCGATGATTGCAAAATTGATTGAGAAGGTACTACTGCTCTACACCCTGGAAGAACTAACAAGTCATCAAGGTCACCTTTAACAAGCACATAATTGATAATATTCTTGTCGCCGGTCATAGAGTAGGAATTCTACAATCAACCTTGTTAGATTGAGAAATAGGACACTGCAATATCCATCACAATGAATAAACTATTGTCTACATGGTGTGATGCAGGAAGGTCCTTACTTGAAAAGTAAAGGCAGAGCCAGTGATGCAGCAAGAATTGGGATTCTCACTTGGAGATCATTGCTAATTATGTCAAGAGACTGGAAGTACTTCTGGAGCAGGCTTATCTTGTATATGCTGCTTGCCCTCTCAATCGGCACCATATTTATCGACATTGGTCATTCATTGTCATCTGTAGTGGTTAGTGTCACTGCAGCATTATGTTCTGATTCACTGGAAATTTTTATTTCTTACTGTTTTTTATGATTTGAGGCTCAATGTTCACTTTGTTTTGACAGGTTAGGATTTCTGCGATATTTGTGTTTGTTTCATTTCTCGTCCTTCTGAGTGTTTGTGGAGTACCTGCTCATATTGATGAGATGAAGGTCGTTTTTTTAAATCTTCCAAGCAGAATTGCAACATCATGACCACTTCCTTCCTAATAAATTTTATTTGTAAAAATGTGATTTATTGCTGAATGATGTCTTCTTATTCACCGTAGACTTCGTTGGCGATAAACAATAAGCACCAAAATCATAGCAATATTAGGTACTAACATTTAGTTCCTTCTATGCAGATATATTCCCATGAGGATTCAAATCGGCATTCCGGGACATTGGTTTTCCTGCTGGGCCACTTCCTATCCAGCATCCCCTTCCTATTTCTGGTGTCCATTTCGTCGTCGTTGATTTTCTACTTCCTGATAGGCCTCAGGAACGAGTTTAGCTTCCTTATGTACTTTATAATCACCATCTTCATGTGTCTGTTGGCGAATGAAGCACTTATGATGATTGTTGCGTACATCTGGCTTGAAACTTACAAGTGCACCTTAACCCTGATTTGCTTATATGTGAGTTTCCATCTCGGTCTTCTTTCAACTGGGCACAAATATTGAACGAACCAACATTAAATAACCATGGCTACTTCAGGTTGTCATGATGCTGGTGGCTGGGTATTTTCGGATCCGAGACGCAATACCAGCGCCTGTGTGGAACTATCCGCTGTCCTACATTTCATTCCACACGTACGCCGTGCAGGTAAGTTATATATGACCATCTTATGTAACCTACATAAACCCTATGCTCATCCGCTCAGGCGTGGTAATGAGCAATGCTGCTGCAGGGCTTGGTCGAGAACGAGTATGTCGATACATCATTTGCAGTCGGGGCCACAAGGACGATACCCGGCGTGCAGGCTGTCCGAGGCTCGTATGGCATATCATCGTCGACAGGTGCCAAGTGGATGAATCTCCTTGTTTTGTTCCTGATGGCGATCGGCTACCGGGTCATCTTGTATGTTTTGCTTCGTCTAGATGTGAGGAGACATGTGAGACTCGGCAAGCGCTCCTGCTGGCCCAGCATCCACACTAGTGCAGCTCCAAAGTGAGTTTGCCCTGAGCTATTGGAAGACGGGTTTTTTGGGGGGTGTATACATGTGTGATTCCTTCCTCTTCCTAGGTAGGCATATCTGACGCATGGAAGGGAAGTAGAAGAGAAACAGAGAGGGAGGAAATTGGAGGAACAGGTGTGTAACATAACATATATATACTGTATGTATGGGAACTGAAGGAATGGATCATGGCTTGGTTATGTGATTTCTCTTGTCCATTTTTTGGCACTAATTATTGCTTCCTTCGCGCTTTGTTCCTTTGTTTGTTGTCCACAAGTTTTCTCTCCCTGGTTGGATCCGTCGATATTGATGGTCGAGTAGCAATCTCCTCTTGGAAGATGTTGTTATCTTTGAGGTATTTCGCAATTTCAGTAGGTTTATGGCATTGTAGATGAAGCTGAATGTAGCTGGACATCCAGGCCAGAGATGAAGCCCGACATTAAATCCATTGCTGCTTCAAATTTCTGAATGTAGCTGGAGACGGTGGATGTTTGGGTCAAGGCAAGAAAGGTGGAGAACAATCTCACTGACAGAAAATCAGTGACATACACGACCAGCAAAAGATGAGAAAATGTTATCCCAGATGAAGAATAAATAAATCATATGGACGATGCTATACAAGATACTTCCATTTCAACCAAGAACCTAGTCTACACTCTACACTAATCGCATAAAAGTTGCGAGTCAGCGAAATCCAAACGATCCAATAAAATCAAACCCAAGGATTCATGATTCTAAATTTGATGTCAATCCTCGCTTACATATACGAAGTACTAGTAAATTAACCCCCCATTCTACACAAGTCGATAGATATTCATTACCAAGTGCATAGTTTTTGCAATATATACTTGCACATGCAACCTGGGCATATATGAGCAAACGATACATATGCTTGGACAAGCAACCTGGACATACATCAGCAAACGATAGACAACATACATAGTGCATTGCCATACTGTTCTGCTACTCGACTTGAAAGAATTCGATCTTGTTGCTTGGCAGATTCTTCTCCATGCCAATAAAAAACACGAGCAACGGAGGGAGAGAGGCTAGACCACCGGCTCGGTATATGATTTCAGTAAGCCTAAGGTTGTTGCACTTGAAATGCGCCAGGTCCTGAGAATATGACTGGCGGCGTTGTTTCGCCTCCTCTGTAGGTTGGGAATCCGAGACCTATCGAACAACACAGACACAGAGGAATCAATATCACACAATGCATTGAGTAGTTATGGTGATAGTAGTTGATGAAATAAGTGGCAGCAGTAGCACCTTGCAACGGCACAAACTGAGCTTGTGCAGGTTAGGTGAGTTGCGCAGGTATTGCCGCAGCCCAAGGAAGTCATCGCTTATATGGCACTCATCCAGGAACAAGGTTCTCAGGTTCTCAAACATAAACGGAGGAAGATACGCATGACTCTCATTGAGCAACAACTGAAACCCAGATAGATAGATAGATAGATAGATAGATAGATAGTGATTTTGTTATGTTTGAATGCCTCCAGATAAATTAAGGAGATGCAAAATAAATGAAAGTGGGTATCAAGGCATACCGTGACCTTCAAATGCGACAAGTGCAGGGTTGTCACATTAACACAAATATGCTCATCAAAACAAGTTTTCTTCCTGGTTTGGTCGGGCGACATTGACGGTGGAGTAGCAATTCCCTTCAGTCTCTTGAAGGTGTCGCCTTCGAGTGCCATAGAGATGTGCCAACATGCATTTTCCATGTCAGTACGTTTATGGCATTGTAGGTGATGCTGAATGTAATCATTCAGGCCAGATATGGAGCTTGGCATTAAATCCATTGCCGATTCTAATCTCCGAATGTAGCTAGAGACAGTGGATGTTTGAGTCAAGGCAAGAAAGGTTCTAACCTTGTAACTGTATAGGATACACCACGCCTTCATGGCCCCACCAGAGACTAGGCGGACCTGTACCGGCGCCGGCGAGAGGCACAAACCCTAACTTTCTTTTTTGGAGGAGGAGGCAAACATCTTATCGAAGACCGATGTTGCAACATTCGACCGTGCGTTCTGTTAGAATAAATCCGAGGCACTCCATCGATCATCCGAGAACCAAGCAATCACACGAGCACGACACCGAGATTTGTTAGCAAGGTTCACTGATATGGCTACATCCCGGTGCCTAACTATGGGCGCTCCTTCCCATGACACCGCTACAATACCGCACCCGGTCGCCCTGGACGCCAGCACATGCCGCCGGCTTCCCCTGCGTTCCTGTGCTATTATGTTGGCATATGTTATATCATGTGTCTACCCCCACTATATATGAGAGGCCTAGGATACAAGTGTCCTACTAGGAGACGACTTCATATCCTATGTAAACACAATACTACTCAGAATCCAACTGTAACCTACCGTGTACACAATATTCGACACAACTCTAACAAAATAAATTAAATCTTTTTGACACATGGGCCGATGTGCAACGGTACACGACGACGTAGTACGCCTTAAATTGTCTGCTTCAACTATGCACAAATTAGAACGTCCACAGCTTAATAAATGGCCTTATCTTCCTTTTTTGCCATAATTAAAAAATGATCTACTTTAGTACTAGTAATCCCTCCGTAAAGAAACATAAGACCGTTTAGGTCATTAAAATAGTGATCTAAACGCTCTTATATTTGTTTATGGAGGGAGTACTAATTAACCGAAGGGAGAAAGGATCAAACAAAAGAAAAGAAAAGAAGATTCTAAGTTAACTTCTCCCCTTCTTTCCTTCCTTCATAGCGTCCTGCCAGAATTATGGCAACTTTCTATGGCAAAAGTTTGCTTCCTTGCCCTAGATTGTTGTCACCTTACAACCCAGAATTATGCTGCTTTCTTCTATAATTTATCAAACTGAAGGAAATATGCCCTAGAGGCAGTAATAAAGTTGTTACTTTATATTTCCTTATTCATGATAAGGTTTATTATTGATGCTAGAATTGTATTGATCGGAAACCTTAATACATGTGTGAATACATAAACAAATACCGTGTCCCTAGTATGCCTCTATTAGACTAGCTCGTTGATCAAAGATGGTTAAATTTCCTAACCATAGACATGTGTTGTCATTTGATAACGGGATCGCATCATTAGGAGAATGATGTGATGGACAAGACCCATCCGTTAGCTTAGCATAATAATCCTTCAGTTTATTGCTATTGCTTTCTTCATGTCAAACACTTATTCCTTCGACTATGAGATTATGCAACTCCCGGATACCGGAGGAATACCTTGTGTGCTATCAAACGTCACAACATAACTGGGTGATCATAAAGATGCTCTACAGGTATCTCCGAAGGTGTTTGTTGAGTTGGCATAGATCGAGATTAGGATTTTGTCACTCCGAGTATCGGAGAGGTATCTCTTGGCCCTCTCGGTAATACACATCATAAGCTTGCAAACAAATGACTAAGGGGTTAGTCACGAGGTGATGTATTACGGAACGAGTAAAGAGACTTGCCGGTAACGAGATTGAACTAGGTATGAAGATACCAACGATCGAATCTCGGGCAAGTAACATACCGATGGAAGGGAATTACGTATATTGTCATAACGGTTCGACCGATAAAGATCTTCATAGAATATGTAGGAACCAATGTGGGCATCCAAGTTCTGCTATTGGTTATTGACCGGAGAGGTGTCTCGGTCATGTCTACATAGTTCTCGAACTCGTAGGGTCCGCATGCTTAACGTTCATTGACGATATAGTATTATATGAGTTATGTGATTTGATGAACGAATGTTGTTCGGAGTCCCAGATGAGATCACAGACATGACGAGGAGTCTCAAAATGGCCGAGAGGTAAAGATTGATATATAGGAAGTTGGTATTCGAACACCAAAAGTGTTCCGGGGGTACCGGGTACTTATTGGGTCACCGGAAAGGAGTTTCGGGCACCCCCAACAAAGATATGTGCCTTATGGGCCAAGAGAGGGAACACACCAGCCCACAAGGGGCTGGTGCGCCCCCATATCAGGACGGCCTATGAGGAGGAGAAGGAAAGAGGGGAGGGAAAGGAAAGTGTAGAGTAGGACTCCCGCATCCTTCCCTCTGCCCCCTCTTTCCTTCCACCTTGTTTATACAAGGAAGAGGGGGGGCAGGGCAAGGCAGGGGCCCTAGGGGCCGGCGGCCAGCCCTAGGGCGCGCTCTGGCTGCCTCCCCTCCCCTCCCACCTATATATATATGTGGGGAGGAGGCACCATACAAGGAGACAACATTGTCTTAGCCGTGTGCGGCGCCCCCGTCCACCGTTTACTCCCTCGGTCATATTTTCGTAGTGTTTAGGCGAAGCCCTGCGAAGATCACTTCACCATCACTATCACCACGCCATCGTGCTGACGGAACTCATCTACTACCTCGACATCTTGTTGGATCAAGAAGGCGAGGGACGTCACCGAGCTGAACGTGTGTTGAACGCGGAGGTGCCGTACGTTCGGTACTAGATCGGTTGGATCGCAAAGAAAGTTCGACTACATCAACCGCGTTGTGAAACGCTTCCGCTTATGGTCTATGAGGGTATGTAGACACACTCTCCCCCTCATTGCTATACATCTCTATGGATAGTTTTTGAGTGTGCGTAGAAATTTTGCTTACAAGCATTCGATTTTAATTTATGTCTAAAACTGAGTTCTCCGCATACTAGCAGCAACATAGCTCCACCACATATTATTACATGTAGCTTGGTAGGTTTGTATGAATAAAAACCATACTATTAATAAAAAATTCTAAAGAGATAAATGAACATATAAACACAAACGAAATAATGAACAACAATGTAGAAATGAGCACACTATATCAGTCGGGCAGTCTAGAACCGTGCATGTTCACAACTGGCTTGGTGATCGAGTTGTTCATACATGGAGTAAATTGCAGAAAACCACCACTTTAGAGGCTAGGTTAGCAAAAAACACGAGTTTACTTTTTTTTTGAGGCAGAAACCATCATGTCTAGCGTAATCTTTTTGCAAATAACACGATCGGTGAATTAGGCTCGTTTGAGCGTGTTTATGACAAATGGGACCTCCGAGCCATCGCAGGTTACAGATTCTTGCCTTGCCCTCACTCCACTGCTCCACTCTGCTGCCATTGACTGGACTTGAGCTTCCCTTACTGACTGATGTCACACTCCACTCCACTCCACTAGTAACCGAATTTGGGACTCACTAGCTGATGCCACTCTCCCACTAACTACTCTGCACTCAGGAAGGCTACGTCACTACGTGGCGTTTAGAACACTACCTGTCATAAACGCGCTCAAATGAGACTAATCCACCGTTCAGTGTTATTTGCAAAAAGATTACACTAGACATGGTGTTTCTTGCAAAAAAGAAAAATGAAAACTCCTGTTTTCTACTAACCCTGAAGGCCGGCCCATTAACAGAAATA